GGGTGTTAAACACTGTTTTGCTATTAAAAGCTTTCCTTTAAGTAGTTTGGGCTCACCTTTAGGAATTTTGTTTACATACAATTCCCATTTTTACCATAGATGGTTTGTGGTGCAGATGCCTGTGCTGTGGGTCGAGTGCAGCACAGATGGGACTGTGCTGTGGTCAGATAACAGCCCTGACTCTGCAGCAGCTGCCTTTGCATGGCAAGGAGCTGATAATCCTGCAGGACCTGGCTTGACTCTGTGAGGACGAAGGCCACTTGCAAGCAGGTTATTAAGTTGAGCTCTGCTTAATCCAGAAATGGAGCCACTCAAATGTCAAATGCCAAAAATCAAAAATTCAGTAGCTGATATTATTTCAGATGAGGACTTAACGACAGTTCTGTACCGGTAGTTACGTTCTTAACGCTATCTTCCTTCCCTCTGATTATTGGTATGTTTTATGAATTACAATACTTGTGTATCTGCCAAAAATTTTTAACTCCATATGATCGTGAAACATGGAACTAAAAATTGTATTAAATGCTAAAATATGTGAAAATGGAGCATTTGTTTCATTCCATGGAATATATCAGACTTGTAGTATATAAATGTGTTAAACATCATGTGTGATCCATTGGACAGTTTTAGGTGATGATGAATATTTTTATTCCCTCTGGCATCATCACCCACCAAAGTGGTGGCATTCATTTTCAAAAACCATCTTCTAGTTGGTGTTGACAGTGTGTGTCCAAGAGATGCTAAAAAAACACTTCTCCACCTAACAGCCTCTGCCTGGAGTCACTGTCATCCTTGTTGTACAGAACAGATGATAGTGGCATCCACTGATTCCACTTGTTACGCAGGCAGATGGCGTGGAAATGCTTTTTTGAGACTGGCCAAGCAAGGAAGCCATTTCTAGATCTTTTCTGGGAAACTGTAGCGTTTAGGCTCTCAATGGATAAATTTATAGCTTTGACTTACCTGCAAAACCTTTGAAACTGACTCCAGAGGGGCCTGCAAGCCTTGCACAGTCTGTGCCCTTCATTCTGAATGGAGCTTACTAACTGATTAATGCCAGTAAATTTTGTTTTCTAGTATAACAATAGTAAATTCCTGCTTTCTAATACCAGAACATATGTATTTTTTATGTTCTTCTACTCTGTCTTGAGTTAAGCAGTGTCCTTAGCAGTAATTACAGCTGACTTGAACGTACTATTTAAGGTACAGTGCATGCAAAGTAACATATGCGCCTGACTCTTGATAGGATGCTCTGAGAATCTTGAGTTCTAGTTGGCTTGAAAGAAATGTACTGAGTGAGTTATGGAGCACTTTGTCCCTGATGTTGGAAAATGTCCAACATTTCCATTCAGTATCTAATAATATTTTGAGCTCACATTAAGGCAGCCCCTCTGCTCAGAGATTTTAGGAAGTATAATAGAGAAAGAGCACAGTGCCTTTGCGGTGCTGACTGTGCTTCCTTTCGTGTCCTTGGTTACCGAGGTGGTTGCAGTTCTCTCGTCTCCTCACTGACATCTCTAATCTATGCTTTTGGGTAATCAAATAAAATCCACTAATCTTTTGCAGTTCCGGCTAGATCTGTTCTTCTCATAAATACAAATATTCTGACTCCTTCCTAGCAGTAGCATACAAGAGATGACCATGGGGTTCTTCACAGAGCCTTAGCTCTGCCCTTTAATGAGCTCCTGGGTAAGACAGAAGCAAACTCAAAATATGGGATGTGTTTCAGAAAAAATAATCCCATGTGTTCTGAGGGCTATGAATTTTTACTTTCATGTTTAACTATAGAGATTATCATAGAATTTGTCTGACTCAGAACTATAATATTAATAAATAAAATCATGAACTTTAATGGCATTTAGAACAAATGCATGCCAGTTCTCACCCTGTCTTCAATGCTGGATTTATAGTGCTGCTGATGGTGCAATTACAGTATGCTAACATTTTCTTGAACTTCAGTTTAATTGTACTTTAACACAGTTTTTCTCAGTGATATACTAAAAAAAAAACCAAACAAAAACACAAACAAAAAAAGACACCCCCCCCAACCCCCCCCCCCCCCCCCCCCAAAAACCCCACCAAAAACCAACAACCAAACAAACAACTTCGATGGTATGGCACTGATAATTCAATTATTAAAAGTGATAAGAACTATAAATGCATTAGTGGGTTCCTCAAAGACAGCTCATGAGCAACTACAGTCTTACTGAGAAACTGCTGACAAATTTTAGGCATAAAAATATGACAATGCATGAAATTCATGTTCTGCATTTTAATAGCACACAGGTGGGCAAAAATCGACATAGTGGAAAGCTAGTAATGTAGTTTTAATCATAGATAACTTTTTTTTTTCAGCTGGAAGTAATTAGATTGCAGACTCTTCTGCTTAGCTTCATTTATTTATTATTAGTAGTATGTAGTTTCTGAATAAAACTGAAGGTTCATTTCTTCATGTATAGCAATTAGTATGAAAGTAGCATCTCTGCCATAAAGAGACTGACAGACTTTAAAAAACAGGAGTACTTTTATTGCAGCATTTGGTATTCGTGCCAGTAAGCAGCCCTGTCAGGAGCTCCATAGCTAAGGTATAAACCAAATTACTATAAACACAGACTTTATATCATAGATACTGAGGTTTACGGAGAAAGATTCGAGGATATTCACTGGCTTGTATAATTTACAGAATTACCTTCTATATCTTCATGAGACGTATATATGACATATATATGTCTCAATAGCTGCCAGGATTTCTTCCAAAATAGAGGCATCATCCAGGTGAGATCCAAATAACATTGATACTGTTACATCAGAAATTGAATGCACCCCAGAATGGTTTAGGTACCTCCTTCAGCAGAAAAAGGACTTTTTAATATGCACTCCCCTATGTCCAGAGTGTATAGCAGTGAGGGTTCTGATTCAGAGTACTGGCTTTTATGCTACATTGAAAGAATGTCACAGTAGCAAAATTACCCCATCTTCCAAATGCCATAAAATTGGTTTTGTCAAAGGTGCTTTTGTTTTGAAACTGTAGTATATATGAAAAAGAACAGCACATTAAAACAATATAATGCAAAATTGATACACCTCTATCAACTAGTCTCTGCTAACGAAATAATCCTCTTCCCTACTAAAAGCTTCCTATAAATGTTTTTGACAGGCTCTGTTGATATGACATTTGCTTAGTCGTGGAGTTTACATGTAAGTTAAACATGCCTAATGTAAAAGAATTTGTCTTTTGATTCTGCTATTTAAATCCTACACCTTTTGGGAACACCCTTCACTGGAGAACATGTAAGTGAATATAGGACCTGATCTTATTTATGTTTTATATTTATAATCTAACATACCTGCATGCATGTTATTTATATGATAAACTATACTTTTAGCCACTTATTAGTATTTAGGAAAAGTAATACTATTTCAGTGTTTCACTGAACCCCAAAGAGTTCTATGGTTATGTCAGCAGAACACACTGTCTGTAATTTGGATACAGGGTTTTATTTTCTAAGATACTTGTTTTTCCTACAGTCAGGTAGATTATGCTGGGTTTTTTGGACGGCATTACTTTGTGTAGAAGTTTGAGGATTTACATGCGTGGTGATTAACATTTCACTACATAATAATATTAGAGACTGAACCGTGTTTTAATTGTGACAATAAACCAGACCTGTTACGAAAACAAGGCTGAAGGCCAAGTGCTTCCCATCTCTGGAGACAGTGCAATTTTAGATTAGCAGTGCACATCATGGTGCTCTTACTGCTTTTATAGAACAGTTCCAAGTCATTCAAGAGTGTTCTGGCACACTTTAAATGATTTTACTGCCTGAATCCTGGCAGTGGGGTCTCTCATTCACACCTGCACACACCTGCAGTTCTTGCCTGTAAACTGCAAAGCAATGACTTATTATCTGCATTCTCAACAACCTGTTGCCATTTTGCAATAAATCAAATAAATTGGAGTGCTCATCTTAAAAATCAAGTGATGTCTTATCTTTCTCAATCATTTGTGTGTCTTTTTTTCTCTACAGGCTCACCATTGTTACCAGTGAGAAACAGTAGATTAGTATTGTAGGAAAGGGTTAATAAGTGTCTGTAGAACAAAACGAAGAATATTTAACAGTTAAAATTTGTCATTTGTTTTTAAACAAATTTGTTTCATATGATACTGCATATGTGTATAAGAAAAACTGAGCATGAGTGTGAGTGGAATTAGAAAATACTAGATACCATTTTTATCAACATCCTACATATTAGATATACACACACATACATACTTTTATTCAGTAGATGGCAGCAGAAAGAAAGATGAAGGTAAAGAAAAATAAAGTGGGTCTGACTGCTAAACAAAATTATTCCTATATCATTCAGTGGTGACGATGACGGCAGGATGAATTTCCGAGACAGTATGAAACACTAAACATAGTGCTTTTGTAGTTTTTATAACACTAATTTCTCACAATTCGGATTATAAGGGATAGGAATCTTTTCTGTCAGTGTGATCCAGTGCTTCAGAGATGCAGTTGCAGATCCGTGATGCCTTGCTGGCAGAATGGCAGCAGTGTACATAGACCTGTGAGGGTTGGGACCTGCAGTTCTCACTGCTGGCTGGTGCAGCATTGTTTTGTTCGTGGGGTTGGAAGAGGTGCAAGCCTGCGTCACTTGTGTTGACACTGTGAAAGAAGTTCCTTTGGCTGGAATTTAGTTGCCTCCGTGGTAAAATGATAAAATACGACGTGATGGGAAGCAACCGCCCTGACCAAGAGTTTCGCTTCTAAAGTAGACAGTGGTGTTCGCCATTGCAGCAGTTTGTAATGGCTTCTGGGTTTGCATAGATGGTAAATATTTCTAAAGTTATCTCCTCATTTGGACTGCACACCTTGGAATATAGTGTCTATGCATGTGTAGGTAGTCAGGTGTTGTCACTTGTGTAGTTCCCTTTACCTCAACGCCTGTGCCGTGTGCCTGCAAGTTATTCATGCCGTGATCTCCTTCTGCTCCAGCGTCTTCAATCCTGAAGAGAGAGAAGCGGAAGAGAACAAAAAATGTCCATTTTAACTGTGTTACTGTGTATTACTTCACGAGAAGACAAGGCTTCACCAGTGTTCCCAGCCAAGGAGGAAGCACACTGGGAATGTCCACTCGCCACAACAGTGTGCGCCAGTACACTCTGGGAGAGTTTGCGATGGAACAGGAGAGGCTTCACCGGGAGATGTTGAGAGAGCACCTGAGGGAGGAAAAACTCAATTCTCTAAAGTTAAAGGTAAAAATTGTTTAAGACTTTGATCCCTGCCTTATTTATTTAAATGAGTGGTGTCAGAGCCATATGGGCCCAGTGTGTGTGTTAAACATTTTCAATTGAAACGGCAATTTTTCTGTTTATGTTCTTTATTTAATTTTACTGAAGATGTGTTTTTGTTTGACAATACCAAGTGCTCTTGTAGCTGTCATTGCTATGTACCTCCAAGTGATTTACAGGGAGGTTTTTGTTTATTCCCAGTTTTCTATAGAGAGGAAAGTAAAAGCAGAGAGTGGTGGAAGTTAGCCCTGAGCTTCCATGTCCAGCAGAAGTCTGGGAGTGCCAGGAAGAGAATGAGTCTTGTAACCTGTGCACAGACCCTATTAGACAAGGGTAAGACCCTAAGTACAGAAAGCGAAAGGGCTTGTTTTCTTGGCCAACTTGAGAGAATTTGGCAAAAAGTAAGAAACAGTAATACCAAAATGTTTTCTTTCGTAATGTACCAATTTATATGGTTGTGTGTCTTTAATATTTCACCAAACAATGTCTGTGTCAAAGAAGAAATGTGTCAGACGAATTACCCAGGTGTATCAGTTCAGCTAGTATGAACAAATCTTGGCTATGGTTTTGAATTAAGGTTGGAAGAGACCTCTGGAGATCATCTGCTCCAACCACCCCCACCAAGGCAGGGTCAGCCAGGGCAGGTGACACAGGCACACATCCAGGAGGGTTTGGAATGTCTCTAAAGGGAGAGATTCCACAATGTCCCTGGGCAGCCTATTCCAGTGCTCTGCCACCCTCAATGTAAAGAAGTTCTTCCTCATATTGAGATGAAAGTTCTCGTGTTTTAGTTTATTGCCATTGCTCCTCACCCTGTCACTGAGCACCACTGAAAAGAGTCTGACACCATCCTCTTGGCACCCACCTTTGAGATATTTATTTGCATTAATGAGATCCCCTCTCAATCTTCTCTAAACTAAACAGGCCCAGCTCCCACAGTCTCTCCTGATAAGAGAGATGCTCCACACCCCTGACCATTTTTGTGGCCTCCCCTGGACCTTCTCCAGTAGTTTCTTGTCTTTCTTGGACTGTGGAGATCAGAACTGAACACAACACCCCAGATGTGGCCTCATTAGGGCTGAGTAGAGCGGAAGGATCACCTCCCTTGACCTGCTGGCCACACTCCTCCCATGCACCCCAAGGTACCATTGGCTATCCTGGGTCCAGCTTCCCCATGAAAATGTCCTTTTAAGTACAGCGTAGCAGAGGAAAGAAACTGTGTATTTGAGAAGAGGAGAACAGACAAGGGGATTGTGTCCTTGGAAGTGTCCCTTCTGTCACTTTAAACTGGTGGCAGAACATCATATGTTTTTGTGGTGGATGGAACACTTCCTGTGTCATGGCCTTTATTACATGTATATTGGGCTCTTTTTCAGATGAATCCTGTAGTTAAAAACGAACAATATTTAGAACTGTAATGGCATTTCTGTGTTGCATATCCCCTTTTTTATGATAGTACATCTCTGTCTCTGCTGTTGTCCAGAGCAAAGTGGCACCCTCCAAGTTTAAGAAATGCCTTTCAGCATTTTTCCATAAAATGAACCATATTTTATGTCTGAACATTTTAAGGAAGTGTGCGTGACCTTTATGTTTGTATTTACTTTTTTCAGTCTCCTGTTTTTTTTTTTTAACAGATAAATAGAGTCTAAATAGCTAAATGGATTCTTAAATAAATTAATAAGTTCATAAAATTTGATCTGTCATAAAACAAACATAAAACCAGTCAGGACAAAGGCCAATTGAATACAGATATTGGACAGGTTGGAGTGTTAGTGACTTATCACTAGATAGAGGTTATACCTTCAAACATCTCACATCACAGGATCTTGAGAGCATCAAGTGTGAATTGCATCTGAGTTTAACTGATGACTGTCAGTAGAACCCTTGGCTTCCAGGAATCAACTCAAAGAGAGGAGTCCCCAGTGGAGTGAGTGAAGAATAGCCAAACATGTAAATATTTCACTTTTCCTTTTGTTTTCTTAGCTAAAAAGTAAATCAAGAAAAAGTACAGTTCCTATTTACCTTGAAAGATTTGATGAGGCCTTTTAGGCTTCATCTGTATGGAGCAGAGCTGGACTCTTTGTCCTTTCATTTTCTGCCTCTTGACTGGGATGGATTTCTTTTCTTCATTCACTTGCTTCACTTCAGCCCAGTCTTTTTTGGGACATAGACCCTACTTTCTGCTTGTCTTCCAAATACAAGATGTTTTTCCATCTTCCCAGTCACTTGTTTAAGTAGATGATAATCTTTACTGAGACAAAGTTCCTGCAAAATCTCTTCATAAGTATTCAGTGAATAAGGAAAGCCTTCTTTGCATCTTAGTAGTGCTAATTTTTTGGTTTTTTTACTAGAATAAAATATTTCTCTTCACCCTGGAGTGTGTATAAAAACATAGGCAGCAAAAAACTTCCTTTTTGAACTAGTCCATTAATCTCAGTTTACTTGCACCCCTGATTATGCACTTGGGATAAAAAAAGAAATCCAAACATAAAAGCAAATGCAGGACTCACTGAATTAGTGAAGAGTCACTGTAAAGTATTGAGCGTGGTTTTTTGCTTAAGACAACAAGGCCTTACTGATTTTCTATTATAGTGGTGGAAGAGCTGCTTGGTCATTCATATAGTTTCTAAAAGAACAGAGAAAGGTGGCAATTATGGTCTTTAATGAAAATATGCTAATCGTGATTTGCATCAAAATTTCTGTACATCACAGAAAAAAGAAGGAAATAAGAAAATGAAATAGTGCAAAGTTTTCTCAGGGGTTTTTCAGTTTGAAAACCATTATGCAAACAGTAACATTTTCGTTGTGGTTTTTAATTTCAGTTTCGCTGGGATTTTTCTTATATTTTGCATTGCATTAAAGTATACAAGTTAGTGGGTAGAAAGTGCTCTCTCTGGTAGAATTTGTTTAAAAAAGATAGAACTACATGAGTATATTGAAATTGAGTTTCCATAATAGGTGCTGTTTATTATTTTGCTTGCCAAAAGTGAAGGGCCAAATAAGAAACATGTCTAATTAAAAGCAGATAAAGACTCTGAAATCATCTTCAAGTCATTTTGACCATTTAGCACCAGCACTCTGGTGTAAACAAACACTGCTGACAGTGGCATAAACACTTGTTAGCAGCAGAGTGTGAAAATTCTAATGGCAATCTGGACAGAAAAGACATGTTGTCAAATGAAAAGTACAAGGTAGTCATTTGAGAAAACATGAGTAAGCACAATAAATTAGCTGGAATAGTTCTTATTTCTTACTCATAATGTCTCCTCAGATTAAAATTTATTAAAATGATTAGCATGAGACTAGTGATGTTAAGGCTCACAGGTCTGTGGGCACAGTTGTTTTTCCTTGTGGGAAATTGTAAGGAATAATTTCCACCTAGGACAGGCAAAGGTGTCCATCCTAAATTTCACCGAGTTGGAGTGAATTTCACTCAAAGGTTTCACATATTCATCGGCCCTCGCCTTGTTCTGGGGTTATGGCATTAACCTTTAGCTTTATGAGAGAAATTTACCCATCTACATGTCAGATTTAATTTAGATGAGCAATATTATGACAATCAAGAGAACTTAATGCTTCTCCAAAGTTCCATGTTGAAAAATGTATTTGATGGTTCATGATAATCTTCCTTCCTCTGTAGTTACCCATTTACTTGTTTGAAAAATGTTAGAACCTTTCATTTCATTAATTCATTTGTTCTTTGTGTGGCAAAATTGAGGAAAAAAAAAAATCAGAGGAGACATAAGGAAATCATCCAGCAGAGGAGTCGGGAGCTAAGGTGCTTTGAAACGGCAAACTCCTGCCTAATCCCACTTGATGCCCAGGCATTTGACGTTCCAGCCTGCTGGAGGCATGTAGTGTTCAGCATGTGACTGGAGTCCATTCCCTAATGCTCTACTGCTGTGTAGCAAAGCAGTTAAGATTTGCAGAGGAGGAGGAGAAACACAGGACAGGATTGGCATGGTTCTGTGGTGCCTTTGTGAGCTGAACATTCACCTCATGGGTAAGAGCCCTAAAAGTTAATTTTTATTAAGGAGTAATTGAATAAAATGCTAAAGTAATTACAGAAGTGGGGATTAGAATTCTTCCCCTTCCCCAGTTTCAGACTTAAATTAAATGACAGTGATCTGTTTAAGGAGTGGTTTAAGCCTTGCATATATAAAAGTAGAGAAATCAGATTTCTTAGGTAGGTCATTTCCCTATTATATATGAAACAAAAAAAAGGGCAAGCGATGAAGCATAAATACACTGTACTTAGTTCTACCTTGCTAATATAAAACGAAAAATGTAAAAACCCCTGAAGTGTGCCATTTTGGATTGGAATATTCAGGCGGAGTTTTGTGTATGGTGGAGTATTCCCTCTCCCTCGCTTCAGGCAGCTAATTCAAGATGCACTTAAGCACTGTGTGGATTTACCTGTCTCTTGCTGCAGAATGTACAGACAAAGGGATGACTCCTAATGTTGCCTTTCCTACCTTACTGAACTAATACGTTGAAATACCTGGTGTAAATAATCTCTCTGTTGTCCCAGGGCCAGGCAGAACTGCCTGCTCTTTTCCCAGCCACTGCAACGTGAAATGCATAAGAGAGAATGGAGTAAGAAAACAATCAGTAGGAAGTTTGAGGGGACATTTTGAAAATACCTGTATTTAAGATGAAGAAAGAGCTAGAGGGGATTTGCATGTTACAGGGATAACAGACATGATATACTGAAACATTGCATAAAACAAAGGCACTAAACTCTGAAGGCTTCAGTCAGGGAGAAAGTTTGAGAATACACTGAAAAGAGAAAGAAACAATAATGCTTAAAAAGTGCGTTGTGGAAGTGGCAGAACACCTCTGCATGAACTAAATACGGTGCTGAATTGCTAAGATGGGATGATTGCTGATCTCAAGAGAAGTTTTCTTTGTGCAGTGTAATGTGTACACATAAGCTGTAGTTAAAGACTGCCAGTCAGGACCCTGAGACTCCTCCTTTAAAGGGAGCAGTATGGCTTTTAACCTGCCTTTAGGAGTCAGGAGTAACTAGGCTGTTGGGGTTTTTTCCTGTGATTGTCTTACACCAATTGTTATAAGCACAAAACTGCAGTTGCCAAAAAGAGTAAGCAGTCAGTAGGAAGTCACTGTCAGGTAATTCAGTAGTGCCATAAATGACAGTTACAATCCCAAAGACTGTGGACAGGATGAACTGTTCATATAAATGGGAAAATTAAGCAATTGGCAATACAAGAAAAGCAGAAATAGTGGAATGGGTAAAATTCAGGAGTGCTTTCTCACACATCAGAAATGCAGCTAGATGGAGACAACACAAATTAGCAGAAAAATGGGGAGTTACTTTTATAGCGATAAATCTTAAACATCTAAACATTGAAATGCAAAAGAAACAGGTTATGGTATTTATGACTTCAGTATTTTATCTGTATTTAAAACTGGTGCCTAAACATTTATTTGGGATAACACGCCAAAGTGAAATTTTCTGCAAGTAAATAAGGCAAAACCAAGAAAGAGTTTCAATGGCTATTTTTCTATAGGTAAGAAACATTCAAATGATGTTCCCTGAGGGCCATTTTTCTGAGGTCATGGTAATGCCTATGATGAAACTGTTAGTGCAGATGGCACTTCAGGCTTCACCAGTATATGAACATTGCTGCACCATGTTTTCTTCTCAAAAGTATGAGACCAGGTGCTTGACAAGTGCAATTCAGCAGCTTCATCAGCTGAGAACATTACATAGAGCAGGGTGAACATTGTGAATTTTTTTGTTTGTTTTCCCATTTAAAGCAAAATTAGAACAATAATAAAAAATTTATTATATGACAGAATAAATCATATAACTTAAGTTGCTTCACATTTGCAATGATGCTCAATCTGAGTAAATTGAGATTGAGGAAATAAGTTTTTTGTAGTGAATGTCATTGTCTCTCTGAATTTTGTTTTAATGCTTGATATTCTTTCGACTCTCAAGCAATTTTCTCTGTAGAAGAATTTTCATGAACCCTGTGGTTGTGTTATGTGGCAGATATAACCAGCAAGCTCTACATTCCTTCAGAGCAGTAATTTTTTTTTCCTTTTCTCCTTAACTATATTCACCCCTTTCTATATGAGATGAGTTACAGGAATATGGTACAGAAGTGTGCTATGTTATGAATGGGGCACTGGGTGTTTGTACTTAATGCCCATGGCCATTTAATTTTGAAACAATTTTTGAAAGGTTTGAGAGCTAGACTGTACAAAGGTGATAATATAGCGCCAGGGTACTTGCTTCTATAGACGCTCAAAAATTCATATTCCCAGGAAAAGTAGTCTTAAAACTTTTCTCAGGATCCTCCACAAAAGGTTAACAGCTTGCTTCCTTTTTTTCTAAATGTATGCATTTGTTAGTTATTTAACAATAATCTGAACTGATGACTGAAGTACTAAAATCTATGACAACACAAAGCTAAATGGGTTCTTTTCAGGACCAAAGAGAACCAGAAGGAACATCAGAAGAGCTAGCTGTATGCATCAGCACTGTGAAACACAGTGCTAATAAACATGCAATCACAGAAGCATTTAGGTTGGAATGGAGTAATGTAGGTAGAAAGGGGCAAAACTAAGTGACTTTCAGGCTTAAAACTGCCAACTCAAGAAGCAAACATAGCCATCTGCCCAGCTGATTAAGTAGAAATAACTGCTCTGTGTTCTCATCTGTACAGACATCAGACAACTTGTCAGGCTAAAGAAGAATAGGATAATAAATAGTACATAGAATACACCATTTACAAACCTGTGATGCATCATCATCTAAACCTGTGTCAGTAGTATAATTACTATCTCAAAAGGGATATTTAAGAATTTCAAAATGCTGAGAGACAGGAATCAATTAAGGTGTCAAAAGTTATCTTGTGAAACAATACAGAAAAGACTAGAGTTTCAGAAAGACATGGGATCTGGCAGTCAATGACAAATGGTAAGCATAGGTAAATAAAGAACAGGTAAGTAAGTAGAAACTTAGGAGAAAAATTATCTTCATTACAAACATAGTACTAACAATGTTCATTACTTCATAAGCTAAATGTGAAAGAAATGCCCGATCGCCCTACACGTGATCATATTCTGGAACTTACTGGCAGTCGTGCAGCATTTTACACACAACTTTCCACAGTCACAATGCATTACACAAAGTTACATCTGTGACATACATATGTGTGAGTGCAGTTCTGGACTTTGTTGATTGCTCTGTGCAACAGATGACAAAGAATGGGACGGTGGAATCCGAAGAAGCCAATACGCTGACGCTGGATGACATTTCTGACGATGACATTGATCTGGACAACACTGAGGTAGATGAGTACTTCTTTCTCCAGCCCCTGCCGACAAAGAAGCGCAGGGCGTTGCTGCGAGCGTCTGGGGTGAAGAAGATTGACGTGGAAGAGAAGCACGAGTTGCGAGCCATCCGCCTGTCCAGAGAGGATTGCGGCTGTGACTGCCGTGTCTTCTGTGACCCAGAAACCTGCACTTGCAGTCTGGCAGGCATAAAATGTCAGGTAAATCTCTACATTATTGCCAGTTTAATTACCTGGGGGAGGGGGATGTGTCCACACACCCCCGTGTTCCTTTAGTTGTTGAAGTTATAACCATTGGAAATCAAGTATTAGTAATACCTGTGGATCTCAAACAGTTTTTTAAGAGTATATAAGTGGGCAATCAATATAAACAATCTCTTAAAATATATTTATTTATTTTACGATTGGTTTAGGCACATACATGGTCTAGGGTGGTTTTTTGTTCCTATACAAGTATTCTGCTCCTCATACTTTTCTTTGGCCTTTATCTAAATAGGCTGATGCAGACAACAGAACTAGTAACCTGCAGATTTCAGAAGGGATTTTATCTTTCATTTTAGAGACAAGTACCACACACTCTAAATGTGAATTCTAGTCCAAACTCAATGAGAAAGAATAAGTGACACTGTGGTACTGTCCTTTTTATAACATGCATGATACTTGAAATCTCTGCATGATAAATTTGCATGTAGGCAATAAAAATATATATCAGCTAATATAGAAGGTTTTTCCTCTGCAGACTGAAGAGGTATTTCATATTGTACATTTACATAGTGTCAGCTCTACATGTCTCAAAATATTCCCTAAAAGAGGTTTCTACTAGTTTCTGCTGAGTTGCTGTTGTGCAGCTGAGTTTTCTTCCTTTATGCATTTTTCATCATCTTGTAAATCCAAGCTAAACTTTCTCTGCTATTTTAAATAATATATTCTCCTTGCTGTTCCTGTTTTCATCTCCACATGTGAGGAACATGTACTAGATTATGTTACAGGGTACTTCTCTGCATCATATCTGATGTTTAGGTATTAGAGTGTAGGTGAAAGTCATAGACCTTCAGCTGTCTGGTGGAACTGGCTGACATGTGGATTCAGCCACATTTTTAAAAACTTAATATGAGTATTTTTTGATGTAGAAGTTCTGTGCACAGTCTGTTGAGCTTCCAATATTGCCCCTATAATAGAGGGGGATACCTTTTAAAATGCACTTGAGGTTTTATTCCTATTTTCCATGGTCAGGTGTCCCCGTTGGCAACTTTATAAAGGTTTCTGTATATAATTTTGTTTTAATAGGTGTCTAGTTTCCATGACTTTTACCAATTTTTACCAAATTTTAAGATACTTTTTGGTAATGATTTTGCCTGAATTTGAGCACAAAATGAAGTAAAGCTGTAGCAGATCTATAAATATAAAAACTACCAATTTTTTTTTCCACTGTTTAGTACTTTCACCTATGGAACAGAGATGTATTTTTCCTGCTGTGCAGCACTGATGCATGTACTTACTGTTCCTCTCAGTACTGCTCAATTCCAGGGCTGACTCCTTGAATTATTGTTAACTTGGACTAGTCTTACAGGTATTTCTCAAGGTGAATGCCACCTCACCACTTTATTTCTCTAGGCTGTGTAGGTTCTGTCATATCTCCAGGCTTATGCTACGCGTTGTTAATCTGTATTCTTTTCTTTAAAAGGTGGATCGTATGTCTTTTCCCTGCGGTTGCACTAAGGAAGGGTGTAGCAATACCGCAGGTAGAATCGAATTTAACCCTATCCGTGTACGGACTCACTTTTTGCACACAATAATGAAACTTGAATTGGAGAAAAATAGAGAGCAGCAAGTTCCAGCACTTAATGGCTGCCACACTGAGATAAGTGCTCACACTAGTTCTATGAGTCCAGGACCCCACCCGGCTGAATATTCAATTGCAGAAAATTTTGAGATTGAAACCGAACCTCCGGCTGCAGTTATGCATTCCCAGACAGCCGAGGACTTGGACTGCCCAGGGGAAGAGGAGGAAGAGGAAGATGGGAGTAGCTTTTGTAGTGGAGTTACAGATTCTAGCACACAGAGTTTAGCCCCTAGTGAATCAGATGATGATGAAGAGGAAGAGGAAGATGAGGAGGAAGATGAGGAGGAAGAAAAAGCAGATGATTTTGTAGAAAGCATGGGCTCCCATGCTGATATGGTGCCTCTTCCTTCTGTCCTTTGCTACTCTGATGGAACTGCTGTGCATGAAAACCACTCTAAAAATGCCTCATACTATACTAACTCTTCAACTCTGTATTACCAAATAGAGAACCACGTTGCTGGCACTGCTAACCAGATCGGTGAGACTTACTCAGAAAGGGATGCTGTCAAGAACGGTAGCCTTTCTCTGGTGCCTTACAACATGACTTCTGAACAGTTTGTTGACTACACACGGCAATCAGAGGAAACTTTTAGCAGCCCTCATTACCCTTCTGCAAACCCCTCAGTGATTGTTTGCTGCTCATCTTCTGAAGGGGATGGCAGTGCTCCATGTAACAGTTTATACACTGAGCATAGGCCGAGTCACCCGCAAGTGGAATTTCACTCCTACTTGAAAGGTCCTTCTCCAGATGGCTTTGTGTCAGCTTTGAACGGCGACAGCCGCGTGCAAGAGCACCCTGCCGAGAATTCACTAAACCTCCCAGAAAAGAGCAGACTGCACGAGGAGTGCATCAAATCTCCAGTGGTAGAAACGGTACCTGTTTAATATTAAAATTATTCTAGGACTGACTTCCTGTATTAAAATTCACTCCCATCGGATTTTCCTAGAATCTTACTTTTTTAAGAGGTAGACAACACTTGGACTTACGATCAATGTTCCAGACGCATTGTGTTTTCTCAAGCTACACTGGCAGTGGTATTGCACAAAAACAGTTCACATAAAGATTTAAATAAAAATAATCAAACTTTTTTTTTGATAAAAATAAAACACGTAAGTAAAGAAACACAGCCAACCTATTTCAAAGTAGCCTACCTATGGATGTGTGTGAAATCTGCCAAGCTATCTGAATCAAAGCTTTGTGTTTTTGACTGTCGGGCCTGTGCAAAAATGTTAAAGATGATGCTTTGAAATAATCATGTTTAGAGTCCTAATTTTCAACATATCTGAAAAGATGGTAAGTTTAATGTAAAAGTAACTACTGTACAAAAAAAGTTTTAATTGTTCTGTACTGTATGTATTTTATTTATGGTAGTTTAAGATTCATGTTTTGATAGAAATGGACAGCATGTTCATTTGAGCAGAAGATCCATATCTAGTTACAAAGAGCATATCCCACTTTTCATCTGGAGTACCTTGTATTCTTCTTTCCTTTTTTTTTTTTAATACCATGTCTGGTAAATTGTCTTTAAACACATTTTTAGAGTGTGCTGTTTTCTCTTTTACTGTTCTTGACAAACAGAAGAGTCAGAAAGGGGGCATTTACATCTTCTAGAAAGGTAGACAATCCTCCATTAAAACTAAAATCAGTGGCATTCCAGAACTAGCACCCTCACCCCAAAGAAAAAGGATCTTGTATATAATGGCAAAGCAGTAGTTTAAGCTTGCACAGCACCTTTTAGCCCAACAACCATTCAGATACTTTGCACTTTAGTGCTGTTTTGCAGGACTGTATTAACTGTGGAAACTGTGAACCACTCTGGAGAAATGCCATAGCTCCACTCTCTGAGGCATTTGTAAAATCTTAACATTTATTGTAACAAAACCTGGACGTTTTTTTCCCAGGCTAGTTTATGAATGTCAGTATGCGATTTATAAAAGCAGAGCCTTACTGATCAAAGCTAAAATAAAGCATGGGAAAAAATGTGGAACTCTCTAGATTGCCTAAACATTTAACAGTTTTTATGAAATACGAGACTGGCTTTTGTGGACTTTTGGTCATACCTCAAGTGTGTAGCATCATTTGGTATAAATAGGAAACAGCAGATTCAGTGAGGAAAAAAGCTTCAGAAATTTTGTATCTGCAAAAGTCTGCAAGCAAAATAGCATGGGCATCATATGGATATCCATTTTCTTGTGATCCATTTGTTTTTAAATGAAATGGGAATTAAAAGTACCTGCTGTATGTCAACCTTTAATTTATTAACCAACCTTGCTCTTGTCTAGAAAAGGAGGCATAGGAACCAGGTTTTTGCTGCACTGGAAATTCTGCACTGCCTTATTTTGGTTTCAAAATCTATGTTAGCATTTTTGTTCTTCTTATACTGAAATTTTATTTTTTCTGCATCGAGTGAGTTGAAATGTAGACCTGTCTTGTTTGTCAAAATAAGGATCAGCATCTTAGTTTTATCTGTGTCAAATCTAGATGGTTAACAGTGTGCATGTAAACACTGTAAATTTTAGCTCTGTAACAAAGACTCTTCTGGTTAGAAGCTCTTTAAAACATCATGTACAGTCCTCCAGTAGAAAAACTGCCAGATGTAAAATATGCTTTTCATTTAAAAAAAAAAAAAGATAACTTAGTTGTTTTTATATGAAATTTGGGCAAAGTGATTTCTCATATTTATGCTAAATTAGCAAAATATTTTTACTCCATGTAGTAGCTGGAAAGGTTTTTTATTTACTTGTTTCCACAAGAAGTCCTACACATTTTATATGAACTGCATTGACAAGTCTGGTTCTCTAGGGACTGGATTCCAAACTTGAAACATATTCCACCTCCTGAGAAAGCACATTCATGCTGGTTATCTGGCTATCTGGCTCAGCAGTTCGGTAGCCTCTATTCCTCCTGTAGTCACAGAACAATCTAGGCTCTTTTTCTAGGCAGGTAAACATCTGTATTCTTCAATGCAAATACCCTTGATTTTTAAAGAGAAATGTGCTAGTTCTTAAAGTTCTGCATCTGAGAATATTATTCTGTTCAGGACCTTCTAAGTAAGGGCAAATGTAACAAGTCCCTGTCTACAGGCATCTTGCATCAACAGTGAGTTGGAATTGGCGCTCTCACTCAACACCAGCACAAAAAGCACAAATCTCTTCTGCTTGAGCTTGGACAGTAGATGAGGATCAGGAGCAGCTCTTTACCCTCAGAGTGTGTTGGAGAACCACACACACTTGACTGGGGTATTTATCTCAGGGGAAAGTTAAATATTTTATTATTCACCCCCTTACTGAGCAATAAGAAATTATTTTCCTGGCCCCTGTGCTTTCACCTGAAAAATATCTTTAATTGTATCAGCAAGCACAGTAAGTGATTAACTTCATAAAATACCTCTCAGCCAGTTTTAAAATACTGAGGTGGTAGTTATTTACTATTTTCATTCGCACAGGCTTCAGATCCCAGTCCTGCTTAATATCAGCACCTGTATAAATTTCTGAGTACTTAGATATGTGTGTTATTCCATGCCATTGGGGCATCAGGGTTGAATGCAGCCAAATTCTCTCACGCCTGCAGCACGGGATAACAAGCAGTTAACATCTTGGAAGAGAGAGGGTAGAGAGAGCAGTGACTATATAAAGTATTTGTGATACACTGTTTTGCCGTGTTTTAAGTAGCTTATTCCTGAGAAAAAGTAAAATGTGCAGAATAATGATTTAAATTGAAAAACTACTCCTAATTTACTAGCTGGTGATAATGTAGATAGTAATACCTTTCTTTTAATCTGATCTGATGTTTTGCAATCAAGATTTCATCTCAGGATGCAAAGTAAACAAATTTTGTTTAGTTCTTGCAACAAATTATAAAGCCAAGTCTTTTTATAATTCATGGAGAGTTCCTGGTAGTTATATTAATAATGTCAACAACCCTTCTAACAGAGAGAAACTCATACTGAGGAAAAACCCTCAGAAACCTCTTTTTTAAAAATAAGGGCAAACCTGTTGCTCAACCAATTCAGTGCCAGCAAATAACAAAGCTAAGGCCTTTTCTAGCGTGTGTAAGTTCACTAGAACTAGAGTGACAAAAAAAATATTGCAGCCCTGACGAAACAGGAAAGTTAATTTAACTGACAAGTAGGCTACTTTACCTGAATTGTAGAGTAGGATGTAGAAATCAGGTGAGTCAGGTTTCTCACCACTTGATTAGACTTCGATGTTTTGTTTATAGCAAAAAACATACTTTTCATTTAAAAACAAACATTTACAAACTTAATCATAGTATGGAAAATATTTTAATGTTATTTTCTGGGCTAGTATATAATGCTATGTCCCATTTCCCAGCTGGCTAATAGTAATTTTGATAACCAGTCCTTTCATTTTGGGTAGGCTGTTTCTGTGTGATAAAAGTATTATATTACTAAATGATAACCAGCAGTTTTGCTTCTGTGTCAACACAGCATATTATTTGAGGAAATGTTTGCTTTACTGATAGTTATATCAACTTTATTTCCTGAGATATCTGGCTACTGATAAACACTCCTAAGGAGCCAGGTAATAATTTATGATTATATTGTATAGTTCAGAAAAATGAGTCATAACAAAAGCATTTCCCTCTGTTAAAATAAACTAGAATTTTCACACAGAAGATCACTGGAACAGCACCTAAAACCGGATGCCATTTTGCCTATAAGGTGAAGTTTTTGCCTCTTGGAAAAAAGTGCATTGTTAAATATATGTAAAGCTTTAACTGACATTAGACATGAAATTAGAACTTTTCTGCACAATTAATTACAGTAATTGCAATTGCTTTCTAGGAGCTATAACTCATGCCCACTGGAACATCCTTAGAAAATTAAAAGCTGGTCAGTAAAACTTTATACTATTCTTTGTTGTCTGCCATTTAGATCAGAAAGTTCTAGATTTGTAAAGTTTTACTATTTTTCATTTACACAAACTCCTGCTAGTGAATCATAGTTGGAGTTGACAGTAATTTATTTTAAGGCCATTGTACATGGCCATAGATACAGTTCAGCCTGATCAGTGCTCTGGTAACAGAGCAAATCCTGTCCTTTGTGGAAGTGCTGCAGAAATCCCGTATAGTGTTGGTGGTGCTGTTACTTTTGCTTTCCCTGCCTCACAGGGAATATCTTCACAAACATAGCTAGTTTTTTAAAGATTGTATGCATATATTTGTATGCAAAACAGAATATATATTTTGTTTTTTAATATTTCAGGTGTTCCTCTCTGATAGAAATTTGATATACTGGATAGAGAGCACTGTGCTCAGAGGACACCTGGGTTCTGTTGGCTTTGCCTTTGTCCTGTTGTGTCAGTTGCATCTTCTGTGCTCTGATTTGTCATGTACTTGGAGATACTGTGATTGATAAAACATAATTCTATAAAACAGGCAAAATACCATTTTATTTCCCCCCTTTTTTTGGTATCATAGCTAAATTTCTGTACTGCAGACTATGCCACTTTCCAAATGAAGCCCAGTCCAGAAGTGAATAGAAATTTTTCACTAATGTGAAACACAGCTAAAGCAAGCTCTCCTTTCCTTAGACTGGATTAATGAGCAGAAGTTTAACAGTAAATTGCACAGTGAAAAGTTAGAATAAAAGCTGTGTTGGGTATACAGCATTTACCTGTCAAGTGCTTAACATTTGAGCAGCAAGGCTGTAGTTTGTCTGCAACACCATACTTGACAGCAGCAGGCAGTCTTACTCCCATGCACAGTGTCTTCTTTTGCTGGCTGAATTCTCTCAGTTGGAACTCCTTGCCTGGACTGCTCCTGTAGCAAAGCAGCTGCCCTTACCCAAAGGTAAAGCAAGAGAGACCCGTGATATCCTTTTAAAAAGCATTTGCTAAATAAGGATCTCCCTTGTTACAGCTCATGAGTTGTATGAACTTGTTTTCATTGTGCCAATTGTTTTACTTCCTGAAACAGTCAGGAACAGGGACAGAAGAGGATGATACAGAAAATCCTCAAGCATTCCTGCTGAGGCTGAAGAGCAATTCTGTCATGTGTTATGGTTGCAGAACGTTTGATGTAAAATACTTTGAAAAACTAGAAGTAACTCAGAGAATATATTCTATAGAATTTATTTCTAAAATATTAAATCTGATTACTATTTTTTTAAAATGGTAGAAAACTGTTATTTTCAAAACAGACATAAATGTTCCTTGGTATGAGAAATCTCAGCATTTGCCTTTTCAGTGTTTCCAGGTTTTTCTAATATTCTTAATTTTGCTGTTCTCTGTAATTATTGTCCACGTGCAAATTATTAATTGTCCATTTTTTCCAAGAAGTGTCAAATCCAAAGCTCAAGCATTGTGATGAACAAGTGCAATTTAGTTTTAAAGATGTCTGAGTGAACAGACTTAGGTTCTTCACAAGTTCTTCCTATTCAGTGTCTCTTCCCACTCCTAAAGCCAAGGCAGCTTTTAATTTTGTTGCTAATAAATGTGCCAGAGTATTGTTTCCACTTAAGGAGGAAAGTTGTAACATCCTTGAGGACTTTCTGCTACCCTAATGGCTGATACCAAGAATTTTACTTTTTAAGTGGAACATCCAATTCGTGAAACATCTTGTGCAGCCTTAGTGGTTTTTTTTTAATGCCTTCGTTCTTGTCAGTGTTTGGGAGGTCTGTTGTACAGTAAGACAGTCGAGCACAAGGGCAACTCCCATGTCCTCTGTGCTGTGAATTAGATCTTGAAAAGCCAGGTTGGATGGGGCTTTGAACAACTGGACCTAGGGGGTGCCATCTCTGCCCATGGCGTGGGGGTTGGCAGTAGAAGATCTTTAAGGACCAATCCAGAGGGGGCCGTTCTGTGATTCTGTGAGGTAAAATGTGTGTTGCTCTGGTGCTGTGCAGTCTTTGTGGCTGGAGGGCATCCAGAACTCAGGAGGTCCCACAGCCTGGAGAACCGTGTTCCTGATGTTCTGTGCTGCAGCTTCTCAGCTGAGGGGATGATAGTCTTCATCCAAGGCTGGGGGGTGGGACAAAAAAAGTCAAAGGGCAAACTTTGTCCTTTATTTACTCAGTTATCTTAATTTGGATCTTAGCAATGACACTTCTGTGTCATGAATGAATGTCCAGTAGAACCAAGTTGAAGTTTGCCTCTTGTGCATTCTTCTCTAACTGTTCACTTTTCCAATAAACCATGACGATGGGATTAGCTTTTCATGATAGATAGGAAAATGGAGGAAGATACAAATGCGCATCATTGTTCTAACACAAGAATCAAGATACTCCTTGGTCTTGAAGCACTAGAGTGAGGGGAGGATAGAAAGGACAATTTAGAGGAAAAGAAGATGAAGGCATGAGGCAGATTGATCTTTCTTCTAAAGGAGAAACTAAAAAATTACATATTAAAGAAGGAAGGAAAATGGGAAATAAAGAGCTCTCTAGAACAAGGATGGAAAAGTATATGGATGTTCACTACAAGCTTACCCATGTTAGACGATAATATTGATTCTGTTACTTAAAATACTTTAAACCAACCATGAACTCAGTGCAAACAGGAAATGCCATTTTTCCAGACCAGTTACATACAGGTGGCCATTAAATAAAAGACTTATCCAAATGCATGGGGTAAAAAATACAAAGCAAAGCCACACCTAGAAGCACTGCTACCATGTCCTTTCTTTGCCTATGGCAATTGCAAAGACATTTTCAGTATCAGTTAACTCTGCTCC